GAGTCTGCAGTGGTGCGGTGGTAGGGGGAAAAGAGGAGGAGTGAGGGGCACGGCGGAGCCGGCCCTCGACACAAGGCGTGCACGGGGGGGCGGGGGAGGAGGGAAACTCGGGGAACGAACTGGGGAGACCAAGGACGAGACCGTGCTGGGACATGTGACGCAGACGCAGGAGTGCAGGGTGACCAAGGCGGTGATGCCAAAGGAGAGTCGGGTGAGTGAGGGACCGACAGGAGCACGCAGCAGCAACCTGGGTGAACGCAGCTACCTGGGGGGAAGACCCAGCCGGGGAAGTCGCGGTGTCAAGTGTGAACAGGCCGGACATCGGGTCCCGGGGGAAAGTGGTAAGGGGGGCACCAGTGGCGGCCTCGGTACAGACAGCATACCGCTCGTGACCAGGGAACGTAGTGGTGACGCCAAGGTCCTGGAGGCAGCCGACACCAACTAGGTTCCTGGAGAACGAGGGGATATGCAGACCGGTGAGCGAACCTGAAGGAACCGCCGGACAGGGAAGGGAGGTGGAACTGCGGGCAACGACGGGACCACTGGAGGGGTCAGCAAGAGTAACTGCGGCGGGAACAGGCAGCGGCGTCAGCGTCGTGGAGTCGCGGAAGAAACACCGGGAGGCGCCAGAGTCCAAGGTGAAGGAAAGCGCAGCAGTCGAGCAGGGCGGCAGGGAAGCGGTGGAAGCACCGAGGCTAAGCAAAGCAGAAGAGCCTACGCCTGACGCAGCAGGGGAGTCTACGCTAGGCACAGCTACACTATGCAACACGGGGTAATAAGAGGGAAGCACACTAGAGTCATCAGCATACATCACATGCAAGGCTGCTACAATGGCATCCATGTCCAAGTCAAAAATCCTAATGCTACGCCTAAGCAAGCTGTGCCAGTCCGGGAGGTCGGGCGCCGGGCCAAAGCGCTGACGGAACAGGTCGTCCAGACGACGAAAACAGCGAGGAGTGGAATGACCGATCTTACCGCAAACGAAGCCGCGGCGAGGACCGGTCTGGATCTGGTACTGATAGGGCCCGCCTCCAGAACCACCACCCGGTGCACCACCACGCGCACGACCACCACCAGCTCCAGGCCACCCAGGCGGGAGAGCACTCGCCTGCCTCGTCTGCGGCGGCTGCTGCGGCTGCTGCGAAGGCTGCGGCTGCGGCGACTGCTGCTGCTGCTGGTGCTGCAACTGTGGAGGCAGCGGGGCAGCTGGACCGGGCAGGGTCCCCACGTCCACACCGGCACCGGACGACCCGACTCCACCACTACCCCCACCCGCACCCCCGCCGCCTCCGCCGCTCCCAACCTTGGGGCGGCGGCCCTTCCCCGAGCGGGACTGCACTGCAGCAGCAATCTCAGCCACAGCGACAGAGCCGTCGGAGAAGGTACACTGAGCGGGGGCACAACCCTGAAAGATAGGGACCGGTACTGTACCGCTCGCCTGGGCTATGGAGCGGTGACGAGTCTCTATGACAGTCAGGGTGTCAACAAAGTCGGTGAGGGTGAGAGCAGCGGGGTGGATGCTAAGGAACTGGTCGCGGGCGGCGGCAAGGCGGTCAGGGAGGCGGGTGGCAAGGAGGTAGAGGGTAGAGGTCATGGGAGGCTGGTGGACTCTAAGCTGTGCATCAGTGCAGGCAGCGCGCCAGGTCTCATCGATCGAGCGCAGGTGGGCAGCGAGGTCAGAGACAGTGGGGAAAGACGCAAGGTCAGGAAAGAGCAGGGGGAGGATCAGGCGACCCACTGAGGCAGCAGGAGGGGTAGAATAGCGCTTGATGACAGCATCGAGGTAGGCCTGGGCGGTAGTAATGGTTCTAAAGCGAGGGCGCTCAGGGGGGGGGAGGGCATTGCTAATGGCGAGCTGAGCAAGGGCATCGCGGGAAAGCCAGACAGAGCGGGCAAGGGCAGCGGCGGCAGTGGACTCGCGCTCAGCGGGCGTTGGATCAGCGGGCAGCACAGCAGGGGGGTCAGGGCAGGGGAGCATACCGTCTAGGTGGGCAGAAAGCGGGTGGCCGTCCTGCCGCTGACCAGTGAGGTGGCGGCGGAGGTCAGCCAACCACGCCTCGAACTCCAGAGGCTGACCCTCAGCATCAAAACGAAGCTCAGCAGCCATCAGGGGCAGTGTAGGACAGTGGAGTGCGGTGAAGTGCTGTGCAGTGCGGTGCAGTGCGATGCAGGGCGGTGCAGTGCGGTCCAGTGCGGTGCAGTGCGGTGCTAGGCGGGGCAGGGAAGTGCAGGAGGGTGCAAAGCGGTGCGGGGAAAGGGGGACAGTACCAGGAAGGATGTAGGGCCGGGGCAGGCTCGACGGGCCCGGGCAGGCGCGACGGGGCCGGGCAGGCGCGACGGGGCCGGGCAGGCACGACAGGGGCGGGCAGGCGCGACGGGGCCGGGCAGGCGCGACGGGGCCGGGCAGGCGGGACGCGGGGCCGGGCGGCTGCGACTGGGCCGGGCGGCAGCGACGAGGCCGGGCTGCTGCGGCGGGGCCGGGCGGCTGCGACGGGGCCGAGTGACTGCAACGGGGCCGGGCGGCAGCGACGAGGCCGGGCGGCTGCGACGGGGCCGGGCAGGTGTGACGGGGCCGGGCGGGTGCGACAGGAGCCGGGCGGGCGCCACGGGGCCGAGCGGCTGCGACGGGGCCGAGCTGGGGCGACGGGGCCGAGCAGGTGTGACGGGGCCCAGGAGGGGCACTACAAGGCCCTGGAGGGGCGCGACGAGGGGCCCAGGAGGGGCACTACAGGGCCCTGGAGGGGCGCGACGAGGGGCCCAGGAGGGGCGCGACGGGGCCCAGGGGTGCTACGGGGCCCAGGGAGGAGCGCGGCAGGGCCCAGGAGGGGCGCTAAGGGGCCCAGGGAGGAGCGCGGCAGGGCCCAGGAGGGGCGCTAAGGGGCCCAAGAGGGGCGCGACGGGGCCCAGGGAGGGGCGCGACGGGGGCCTGGGAGGGGCGCTACCAAGCCCAGAAGGGGCGCTACGAAGCCCTGGAAGGGGCGCGACGGGGCCTGGGAGGAGCGCGACGGGGCCTGGGAGGAGCGCTACGGGGCCTGAGAGGAGCGCGACAGGGCCCAGGAGGGGCGCTAAGGGGCGCGACGGGGCCCTGGAGAGGCGCTACGGGGCCCAGGAGGGGCGCTAAGGGGCGCGACGGGGCCCTGGAGGGGCGCTACGGGGCCCTGGAGGGGCGCTACAGAGCCCAGGAGTGGCGCGACGCGGACCTGGAGGGGCGTTACGAAGCCCTGGAAGGGGGGCGCGACGGGGCCTGGAGGGGCGCTACGAGGCCCTGGAAGGGGCGCGACGGGAGGAGCGGAAGCGGTAGGTGGGGGGGGGGGGGGGGGGGGGTCGAAACCTACGCGTGATACCATCACAAACCTAGAATTGAATAATGATAGAGTTAGAGAGTACATGCACATATACCTAAATGTTGTACCCTCTAGGAGGTTACCCTATACAGTCTATACAAACATGATCAATAAACATGTTTGACAAGGCGGAGCAATGAGAGGCAAAGAAATGGGATGCAGGGAAGGGCACGGGAATGAGAGGCAGGGGAATGAGAGGCAGGGGGATGAGAGGCAGGGGAATGAGAGGCAGAGGAATGAGAGGCAGGGGGATGAGAGGCAGATAAAGGAAAGGTACCTAAGCAGAGCGCATGACAACCATGAGGACGATTATTGCTTTACAGGAGGACGACCAGAGGTTCTAGGGAGGGAAAATGAGGGTAGAGGGGAGATCGGTCTACAGGCAGAATGACGGGTTCATGCAGCGTGTTCTGGTGCCATCAGTTCAGTTACCAGAATGGCGATCTCTTGATCGTTATCCTTCCTGCATGTGATTTCTACATTACACATGTCTACATACCACTCTACTACCCCCATCCCTCTCGCAACCCACCCTCCCTTCACACCTTGATCTCGTTTCCGAATAACCTGGATACCTTAAACTTGCGCTTGGGACTCCGAGCGAAATATCTGCTGCCCGCCATCATCGCGAAACGTGTCTCCTCGCCGATCGTTTCTCCCTGCTCCTGGCTGCCCGAGCAGAATCCATATCCGCCAATCTTCCCTGCTTAGATCATTGCGATGATAATTTCGGCTGCCCGACGAGCAAGTTCCTGCCCGATTTACACGCCTAACGTTCCCAAAGTCGGGTTATCCCAGGCCGCGAGTGCGAGAAGGCTTACTCGCTCGATACGCGCAAGGCCCGTAACTCTCAAGATCCGCCATAGGGGGTGACGAACTGGCAGTGGAAAAAGATCGATGTGGAAAATTGAGGGCTGACATATGCGACGCTGACGAAAAGTGGAGTCGAACTGGAACCCTAATGCGAAGTGCGACGAGATGGAATTGTCACTATTGATCTGAACCCTGCCAAAACTAAGCCCGGTCCTACTCTGACCACGCCCCACTTGGACCACCTATTCTCGCGCGTGGAGATTAATTTCAGCACCACAATGGAAGTATGGAAAGCCCTAGTTACCAGGCATGTTACACACAACAAAGGCTTTTTCTCACCGAATCAGATCAGATCAGGCTAAACGTTTACTAGAATCGAGGAACTTTGTAGTGAAGCACAAACTCAACCTGGACAACCTTGTCTGGCCGGGACCAAATTCGCTGGATACCAGAGACCAGCAGTCTCAATTCGAAGAATTCGCGAAACAAACAATTCGCAAATCACAGCTGTCGCCGTGACATACATTTGTAGGCCTAAGGAGATCTTCGCGAACAATCTCGCCCACTCAATTTTCGTACCCAACAGCTTCCCTGGTGTGAAACCGCGACTCGATTTCACACAGCCAAACTTCAGCCTTGGCAAATTCCGTGGATGGATCTGTAGGCCATAAATTGCGCCAACTGAATTTCTAACAATCGTCCAGCAAGTTCCCAGCTCTTCCGAACCTACTTTCACCAGCCAGCCCCTTTCACTCAGCTTCATCCCCAAGCTCCCGCCACCATGGCTGCTCTTTCCTGCGCCACCGCGGCTTCCGCCGCTTCCTCCTTCGTCGCGTCGAGCGCCGAGCTCGCGGCGAAGGTGAACAACGTGGAGAGCCGCGTGACGATGCGCAAGACCGTGAAGGCCGCCGACAGCCTGAGCCAGTGGTACGGCCCCGATCGCAGCCTGTTCCTGGGCCCCTTCTCCTCGCCTCCCTCGTACCTGAAGGGCGAGTACCCCGGCGACTACAGGTGGGACACGGCGGGCCTGTCGGCGGACCCTGAGACGTTCGCGAAGAACCGCGAGCTGGAGGTGATTCACTCGCGCTGGGCGCTGCTCGGCGCGCTTGGCATCGTGTTCCCCGAGTTTCTGGCGCGCAACGGCGTGCCGCTGGGCGAGGCGGTGTGGTTCAAGGCGGGCGCGCAGATCTTCAGCGAGGGTGGGCTTAACTACCTGGGCAACCCCAGCCTCATCCACGCGCAGAGCATCCTCGCCACGCTCGCCGTCCAGGTGCGTTGAATGAGAGCCGCTTACTCCATTCCAAATATGTATTCCAGCTCAGCCGCAAAACTCGTTCGCCACCCAGAGATTTGCTTTCCGCCGCAGCACCGCGTCATTTTGCTTCTATTTCTCTTTGAGATCCGATTGCTAATTTTGCAATGCCGTCAGATTGGTAACGCACTTCTTGACGCGTTCTTCTGCGTTTGTAACGTGGTAACCCGACGGCCTCGCACAGGTGGTGCTGCTGGGGCTGGTGGAGAGCTACCGCGTGGGCAGGCTGGAGGGATTTCAGGAGGTGGACGACCCGATCTACCCGGGCGGAGCGTTCGACCCGCTGGGGCTGGCGGACGACCCCGACGCGTTTGCGGAGCTGAAGGTGAAGGAGCTGAAGAACGGGCGGCTGGCGCAGGTGGCGGTGCTGGGCTTCTTCGTGCAGGCCATCGTCACCGGCAAGGGGCCCCTCGAGAACCTCGCCGACCACCTCGCCGACCCCGCTGCCAACAACGCCTGGGCCTATGCTCAGAACTTTGTGCCCGGCGCTTAGAGAGGAGGTAGGAGCGCCGCCGAGGAGAAGACGCGCCGAAATTCGTGCCCGGCGCCGTGAGGGCGGAGTTCAGAGAACATAGCGGCTGGTGCTTCTTTGGTTGCTCTTACTTGTACAGCCTGCTTTGATGTATGTATAGTTGGAATCAAATGCTAAATCAAATGGCTCCATCAATCCTCATATGGCACATATACTGCCTCAGCATCCTCAGCTGCCTTGGTGTTGCACACGGCCAGTTGCTGTTGAGAGCAGCCCATTGCGGTGCGGGGCATTGCTTGCACCTGATATGCACACACCAGTAAACCTAAGGCATTTGCAAGTGGGATACAATTGTAATAATTTGACATGTTTTGGAGGAGACTAAGTATAGAACCTGCAAACACGTACACTTGGAAAACCTCAAGTGTTAGCCTAGGGTCTTTATTGGAATAGTAGACTAGTAAGACAGCGGAAGTCTTAGAACTTGTAAAGTGTTGACAAGAATTTATTGAAGAACAAGTTCTGAATCAAGTCCTGAATCTTAACGTAGGATTGAATGTCGAGAGAAAATAGTACAAGGGTATAAGCCTAAGTGTTATACCCCCTAAGATAAGAACCTATACAGTCTATACAAACATAAACTACGTATATGTTTGACACACCCCCTAGATGTCAACTTATACATGTCATGCATGTAGAAGTTATAGGCTAGTATCGGTGTGTGCTCCTAGGGAGTACAACCCAATAGCTATATGTTCCTTGTTTCACCTTCTAGTCATCATTCTCGTATGCTAACATGGTATCACGCTTAGGTTAGGTCCCCCCGTCCACCCGCTTCCGCCCGCGCCCTAGCCTACGCACCCTAGCTAATCCCCTCCCCCCTTAGCGCTAGGCCCCCGTCGCGCCCGCTAGGCCCCGACGCGCCCGCTCGGCCCCCATCGCGCCCTCCAGGCCCCGTAGCGCCCTCCTGGCCCCCGTCGCGCCCTCCAGGCCTCGTAGCGCCCTCCTGGCCCCCGTCGCGCCCTCAAGGCCCCGTCGCCCCCCCTCCTGGCCCCTTGTCGCGCCCTCCAGGCCTCGTAACGCCCTCCTGGCCCCGTCGCGCTCCCTAGGCCCCCGTTGCGCCAGCTAGGCTCTTCCCGATGCTGTTCCCAGACCTTGCTGCCTTCCCTACTCTCGCAGACTTTGCCACTCACTTGCGTGCCCTAGAAACCCGCTATCGCACTGCCAGCACTGCTGCCCAGCTCACTGCGCCCCCCCCCCCTGCTGCATGACGCTCTATTTTATCATCATGCGCCTACCGGACCGCCTAGCTAGTGCTCGCGACCACTTCCTTAGCCAGCACCCAGGTGACCTCACTCTGACCGCCTTTGTCGACACCCTCACCGAGATCGAGACTCGCCAGCGCACTATCGCTCAGTCGAGCGGTGCGCCGACAGTCTTTATCTTTCACGGCTGTGCCCCCTCCCCGTGCTCGTTGACTGACGTTTTGGCTGCGGTCGCCTCTGCGACCCCCCTTACCGAGACTGCAGCTGCGGTCCACCCGCAGCAGCGCTCGCGTCGCGGTGGCCGTGGCCGCCAGGGAGGCCGGGGTGGTGGCGCTGGGGGGTGGTGCAAGTGGTGGTGGTGACGGTAGTCTGCCTGAGAGGACTCCCACAGGTGGGCAGGAGCAGACGCAGTCCCCTCCGCAGCAGGAGCAGCACCAGCAGCAGCCGCCGTCCCAGCAGCAGCCGCCGTCCCAGCAGCAGCCGCCGCAGCCGTGGGCCCGTCTCCCGCCTGGTTGGCCCAGCACCTCTCATGTTGGTGGCCGTGATGGCGGCCCGCGCAGCTCGGCGTCTACCGGCAGCTCCGGTGCTGTGACCTGCCAGTACCAGCTTCAGACCGGGCCTCTCCACGGCACTCTGTGCCGCCACCCACACCCTACCACCCGCTGTTTCCGCCGCCTCGACGATCTCTTTCGTCGTCCCTTTGGCCCGGCCCCGGACCTCCCCGAGTGGCACAGCCTTCTCCGCCAGGGCGTGCCGATCTTCGAGTCAGACATGGATCAGATAGGTGCTGCTTTGCATGCCTTGTATTCTGACGCTTCTAGTGTTGCTGGATCTTATTACCCTGTGTACTCTAGTTTAGGTGTTGCACCATTGTGTAGCTTAGCCTCTCCTGCTGCGTCAGGCGTAGGACTGCCTAGTTTGCCTAGCCTAGTCTCTGCACCGGTTCCGTTCCCGGCCTCTGCCACTGCTTCGCTGTCCTTCACTCTCGACTCCGGTGCTTCTGCCTGCTTCTTCCGCGACCGTTCCACGCTCACGCCGCTTGCTGCGCCTGCTGTTGTCTCTCTCGCTGACCCCTCTGCGGGTCCTGTCGTCGCTCGCAGTTCCACGTCTCTTCCTTGTCCAGCAGTTCCCTCGGGCTCCCTTACAGGCCTCCACGTTCCCTCATTCTCGAGGAACCTGGTTGGTGTCGGCTGTCTCCAGGACCTCGGCGTCACCACTACGTTCCCCGGGCACGAGCGGTTCGCTGTCTGTTCTGAGGCTGTCTCAGGTTCCCCCCTTGCGACGTTCCCTCGGGACCCGGTGTCCGGTCTGTTCACCCTAGACACCGCTTCCCCCCCGATTGGTGCGTCCTCCCAGGTCGCTGCAGCTTGCTCGTGTCGGTCCCTCACTCACCCGTCCCTTCTGTGGCACCACCGCCTAGGTTACCCTGCTCTCCCCCATCTGCGCCACATGTCTCAGCACGGTCTTGTCTTAGGCCTCCCCGTATTGCTCCCTGCCCTTCCCCCCTCGATTGTGCCACGCACGCCTTGCGTCGAGGGCCGGCTCCGCCATGCTCCTCACTCCTCCTCGCTGCGCCCTGCTACTGCCCCCCTTCAGACCCTGCACCTGGACGTCTGGGGCCTTGCCCCCGTCCCCGTACCGTGTGGTGAGCGCTACTTCCTTGTGCTCATCGACGACTACACGCGCTACACCACGGTGTTTCCACTGGAGCAGAAGGCCGACGTGCCCGACGTTCTTCTACCGTGGGTTGTGGCTGCGCGTCCTCACCGCGGTCTCCCCGTGTTGTGTCTCCACTCTGACCGTGGCGGCGAGTTCGCCTCTGGTCAACTTGGACAGTTCTGTCTGCAGAGGGCATCACCCAGTCGTACACCTTGCCGGACTCGCCACAGCAGAATGGGGTTGCTGAGCGCCGCATCGCCTTGGTCATGGAGGTTGCTCGTACCTCCATGACTCATGCCGAAGCCCCCCATTTTCTGTGGCCGTTCACTGTTCGCTACGCTGCTCACGAGCTTAACTTGTGGCCACGCTTCCAACGGCGACAGGTTTCGCCGACCCTCCTTTGGACCGGGTCCCCCGGTGACGGGTTTGCGTTCCACGTCTGGGGCTGCCTTGCTCATGTTCGTGCCTTTGGCACGGACAAGCTTACTGCCCGCACTGTCCCCTGTGTCTTCCTCGGTTTCCCCCTGGACTCGTCTGACTGGCTTTTCTACCACCCGCCATCTCACCGCTTCCTCCACTCTCGTGACGTCACCTTTGACGAGTCTGTCTCCTTCTACCGCCGCTTCCCTCACCAAGGTCTCCCGGTTGCCCCCCCCCTGTTCCTTGCTCCCTCTCCCCCGGTAGCCCCTGCCCCTTTCCCGCCTCGTCCTGCCTCGTTTGGTGTCTCTCACGTCACTCCCCTCCTGTCGGTTGTCCCCGTTGAGGAGTCTGCTGACTCTGGTGGTACCCCCGGCCTGTCCTTGCCGCGCCCCCCTTCCCCGGTGTCTCCGCCTCCACTGTCGCAGTCGCCGACTCCGCCGCAGCCGCCGCCGCTGTCGCCGCCGCCGCCGTCGCCGCTGCCGCCGCCCCCGCTGCCGTCGCCGCCACAGCCGCCGCCACTCTTGGCCCCTGGGGGTGCTGGCATTGAGGAGGGTGTTCGTCCTGTGGCTCCTAGGGGTGCCGCTGGTGTTGGGGGGGGTACTCGCTCTGGGGGTGTTGGTTCAGGGGGTGTTGGTTCTGGGGGTGCTGCTGTTGAGTGTTCTGCCGACGGTCATCCTGCCCCTGCCGGTCCGAGGGTTCCGGCCCAGCCATCGCAGCAGCCGTAGCAGCCGTCGCAGCAGCCGTAGCAGCCGTCGCAGCAGCCGTAGCAGCCGTCGCCGCCGGTCTCCGCTCTCCGCTTGCTCAGCCCTCCCTCCCCAGACCGCTTGCCGGTGTCTCCCCCACTACCTTCTGACTTTCCTGTCTACGGTCCCGTGTTCCCGCAGCCGGACTCGTCTCCGGCCCGTCTTCCTCCTCGTTCCCCTCCTGTGACTCCCCCGCTGTCTCCTGACCCTACACCTCCGTCCCACGTTTGGTCTCGCCGTCCCTCCCGTGCTCGTCCCGTCTCTCCTGTCCTGTGCTCCCACCCTATTTTGCTCCGTTCCCACTCGTCTCCTCCTCCCCTCCTCCCATCCCCTCCCCCCTCGTCGCTTGCTGTTGCACCTCCTCCCTTGTCTGACTACCTCCGTGCCGCTCGTCCCCTTGTCCCTCGGGTTCTTGCCTCTCTTGTTACCGACCCGTCTGTTTCTGTCTCGCGCCTTGACGCGCTTGTCGTTGCTGTCGTTGACTTCGCCTCTACCCGCCGCCTTGACTACGCTACCGCTCTGGTCTCTGACCCTGCCCGTCCTTCGTCCGTTGGGGGTGCTCCTGCCCTTGGCAGTGACGTTCTAGAGGACAGGCAGTACGAGCTTGCTTTCCTTTCTGAGGCTGCTCCCCATCTCTGCTCCATGCTGTTAGTCCCTGAGGGTGACCCAGACGCCTTCAACATCCCGACCCCTCGCACCTATGCTGAGGCCACCTCGGGACCTTGGGCCTCTCAGTGGATAGCTGCCATGGAGCAGGAGATGGCATCTTGGAGGTCCACCGGCACTTACGTCGACGCAGTTCCCTCGCCTAGGGTGAACGTAGTCGATGGTCGGTGGCTCTTCAAGGTGAAGCGCCCCCCTCGAGAGCCGCATGTCTTCAAGGCGCGCTACGTGGCCAGAGGCTTCAGTCAGCGTGTGGGGGTTGACTTCTTCCAGACCTTCGCCCCGACCCCGAAGATGACCACTCTTCGGGCGCTGGTACACGTAGCAGCAGAGCGCGACTACGAGCTTCACTCCCTTGACTTCTCTACTGCCTTTCTTCAGGGCAGCCTACACGAGCATGTCTACCTGCGCCGACCACAGGGCTTCACTGGTACCTTCCCCCCTTGGACCCACTGGCTTCTCAAGCACTCGGTCTACGGCCTGCGTCAGGCTCCCCGCGAGTGGCATGACACGCTGCAGGCCACGTTAGCAGACCTGCAGTTCTTTTCGTCCTCTACTGACCCCTCGCTGTTTGTGCGTTCCGACCAGACTCCGTTCTACATCCTTGTCTACGTAGACAACCTGGTCTTCGCTACTGCTCACAGGGACGCACTAGCCTCTGTGAAGGCCGAGCTGCTGAAGAGACACACCTGCACTGACCTTGGAGAGCTGCGTCGCTATCTTGGCCTGCAGATCTCTAGGGACAGAGCAGCAAGCACCATCACTCTGACACAGTCACACTTGGTGCGTCAGGTCCTTCAGAGGTTCGGTCTTCAGTTCTCCTCCGCACAGCCCACACCTCTACCTGTTGACCATGGGCTCTCCGCTCCCTTTCGTGAGGAGCCAGTAGAGCCCAGTGGCCCCTACGCAGAGCTGGTGGGTTGCCTCATGTACCTTATGACTTGCACTCGCCCAGATCTCGCATACCCTCTCAGCATCCTGGCTCTCTTTGTGGCTACAGGCAGACACCGACCTCAGCACTGGTCTGCCGCTAAGAGGGTTTTGCGTTATCTTGCTAGTACATCGGGCATGGGGTTAGTGCTAGGAGGACGCAGGCCAGTGGTCCTCACTGGGCAGACAGACGCTTCTTGGGCAGACGACTCTGAGACTCTCAGGTCGTCTTAGGGCTACTGTTTTAGTCTTGGTTCTGGTGCTATCTCTTGGAGATCCACTCGCTCGTCGTCTGTTGCTCACTCCAGCTGTGAGGCGGAGATCTACGCCGGTGCCATGTCGGCACAGGAGCTCCGCTGGCTTACCTTCTTGCCCACAGACTTAGGTGAGCGGCCTAGCTCTGCCCCGGTCCTGTACGCTGACAACAGGGCCATGATTCTCCTGTATCAGGAGCCTCGGCTTGAGGGCAGAGCAAAGCATATCCAGCTGCGGTACTTCCTCCTGCGCGAGCTACAGGATCGTTGCCAGGCCCGCGTAGTTCAATTGGCCTCCGGTGCCAACAAAGCTGATATCTTTACTAAGGCGTTTGCGCCTAAAGATCATCAGCGGCACTGTGTCCAGCTTGGTCTTGTTCCTGTAGCTACTTACTTGTTAGGACCCTGACTTGTGTACTCCTCACTATATATATACCTGTTTGACTAGCCTTGTGGCTTTACTCCCAGTGGCTGGACTAGTAGTGCCGCCCCGGTTTGCTTTTGTCTTGTCTGTACTCTTGCTGACTGGTCTTTGGACCCCTGCCTCAGTGGTTGGACTAGTAGTGCCTCCGTGAGCTATGTGCTTCTTGCCTGCACCACCCCTTCTCTAGCCTAGGGGGTGTGTCAACTGATACATGTCATGCATGTAGAAGTTATAGGCTAGTATCGGTGTGTGCTCCTAGGGAGTACAACCCAATAGCTATATGTTCCTTGTTTCACCTTCTAGTCATCATTCTTGTATGCTAACACTAGACTGCATAGGTGCAGTTCCTGATGAGAGAAACGGCAATTCAGGGCAGCACTACTAGTCCAACCTCTGAGTCAAGGGTCTAAAGACCAGTCAAACAAGTACAGACCAGTGCAAGGGCAAGACCAGGGCGGCACTACTAGTCCAGCAACTGGGAGAGGCCAGTCAAGAATAATATATATATGTTAAGGTCAGTACATAGTCAAGGCCCTAGCAGGTGAGAGGTAACAGGAACAAGGCCTAGCAGTACACAGTGCCGCTGATGATCTTTAGGCGCAAGGGCCTTCGTAAAGATATCAGCTGTGTTGGCACCGGAAGCCAAGTGTACTACATCTAGAAGACTATTGCCTCCTGCTCAGCGAAAAGTATTCAGAAATACTTGTGCAAATAGCCGTAAGGGGCTAGCATCATAATCTGATCTCAGAGTGGTTGCAAGTTGTCTATACACACAAGCATACCACTAGTTCCAATGAGATACAAAGCACAAATGTTCAAACAGATTTATAGTAATTTCGCGCTTCGTAACTGCTGTGTGCGCTGCGAGTAACTCGCGTGCCTCGTGTCATACCGAGTCGCACACGCAATCGTTACTTTCTTGCTGAACACGTCCCTGGTCCGAAGTCCGAATGCTTGTTGAACACGCCCCGTCCGAAACCCAACTTTCCCATGTCAATCTGTTTCTCGCCACTTCCCTTCCTTTCTTCCACTCAACTCCTCCATCTTCTTTCTTTCCACCAATCTTCTCTCAACCTTCTCTCTTGCTTCTCCCCTTTCCGTACACCTCACGCTTACGCAATACCCGCTTCCTAGTTCCTTCTCGTCCAAAGTCCGCATTTCTCTCCTCGTCACCCCAAGTCACGAGTAGTCCGTTGTGGGTGGCGGAACCACTCCAACAACCTCTCCTTTGGTTCTGCCAACCACACCCTCTAAGTCACCTTCACACTCCCCTGCATGTCCTTCAAGGTACGTATCCCGACCTTCTCCTTGCAGTACTCAAAGTTGGCCCTTGGCAGCACCTTGGTCAAGAAATCAGCTGCTTGCTCCTCAGTGCGCACAAACTCGAACTTGAACTGCTGCTTCTCTAACTGCTCCCTCACCCAGTGATATTTCACATCCATGTGCTTAGTCTTCCCATGCCAGTTGTCGTTCTTCGCTAGTGCAATAGCCGATTGGCTATCGCTCTTGATGGTGATCGGGCCCTCCATGTTGATGTCCATCTCGTTGAGTAGACATCGCAGCCACACACCCTCTTGGCATGCATAGAATAATGCCATGTACTCGGCTTCGGCGCTTGAGAGAGAAATATCGTCGATTTTCTTCGCTTGCCACATGATGGCCGTCCCACCAAGGAGGTAGACATAGCCGTATGCCCCCCTCCTCGTCTCCTTGTCCGATGCATGTGAGGCATCGGCATATCCCATGAGCTCAAGTCCCTCTTCTCCTCCTTCAAACAGCAAGCCTTCATCCTTCCTTTGCACAAGGTAGGTGAGGGTCCTCTCCATCTCCTTCCATTTCTTCCCTTCGGGTTGGAGCACGTTTTGCCCCAAGAAACTTGCAGCATAGGCGATGTCAACTCGTGTGCATGACACGGGGTACATCACCGATCTCACCATGGATTGGTACACCTTCAAGGCCCTCTCTTTGCTGCCCCATGTGTCCATCTCTTCTTCCACATCCACCTCTTTTCCCGCCAAGCTACTGAGAGGTGTTACAATGAGTTTGGTTCCGAAATGGTCGCCAAAACGCTCCTTCAACCGATGAGAGTACACTTTTGGTAAAGAAGCAGCTTCCTTTCCTCTCGGTTCCGCTCCAAGTTCATTCCAAGGAAGAGGGTTGCCCTTGGAATTTGCTTCACTTGGAAGATGCTTGCAAGGTGCTTGCACACACTTCCACCTCTGCTTCAAGAGCTCCCGCCACGAGAATGTCGTCCACATAGAGAAGGAGGAAGACTTTCTCCTTCCCTTCTCCCCTCCAATAGAATGCTCGGTCACTTTGGCTTTTCTCAAAGCCACCCTTCATTAAGTGCTCATCCATGGCCTTGTACCACTCACGTGGGCTTTGCTTAAGGCCATAGAGTGCTTTGATGAGCTTGCACTTGCGGTTGGTGCCATTTTCACACCCGGGGGGTTGCTCCATGTAGATTTCCTCTTGCAGCTCGCCGTATAGGAAAGCATTCTTGACGTCGAGCTGCACTTAGTGATAGTCACGAGCGGCTACCACCTTGAGCAAGGTCCTTGCCGTTGTAAGCTTGCTCACGGGTGCGTAGGTTTCAACACAATCCACTCCTTCCACTTGAGTGTAGCCCTTGGCAACGAGCCTTGCCTTGAAGCGCTCGAGTTGACCCAAGTCTCCCGTTTTGATCTTGAAGATCCACCTCACTCCAACCGGCCTCCTTTCTTCTGGAAGTTCCTTAAGTACCCAAGTTCCCCTTTCCGCCAAGGTATCTAGCTCTTCTTGAATGGCTTTCCTCCACTCCTTGTGATATGGCCCCGAAAGTGCTTCTTCAATGGTGACCGGTTCATCGGGTAGATTGTACTTTGCACGTGTTGCCTTGGAAACTAATGTCGTTGCCGAGATGGTGAGGAGGAGGTGGGTGTGGATGTCCTTGAAGCACGTCATGATGGCGTTGGCATATTGAGGGCCAACCACGTTTGGATTCGGCTTCTTGATACGTCGTCCTCTCCCCATCCTCTCCTCCTCCGGTTCGGGTTCGGCTTCCTTTGGCGTTGACGTTGCCTCATTATCCGTCTCCTCTTCTTCCTCTTGTCCAATCAAGATGGCTCCTTCATTGAGAAGACCTTCAATCTCTTCCACCTCCTTCTCGTTATCCTTAGAGGTCATGAGCCTCCAAGGTCCACTTGAGTCCATGGTACTCATTTCTCCCTCCATGGGCACATGCTCCTCCTCGGCTTCTTCAACTTCCACCTCATTGTTTTCAACTCCCAAACACACGTCCTTGTCCTTTGCTCACGGTAGATGGTCCCAAGTGAACACCCCACTTGGTCCTCAAGAGAAGCTTGTGATCGGGACCCGCCGGCTCACGGTATTGCACCATGCATCCCCACACCCTAAGGAACCCAAGGTTGGGCTTCCTTTTATAGAAGGCTTCATGGGGGGTGACGTCCGCCGCTAGCCCTTTAGTCGGCATCCGGTTCTTGAGCCAACAAGCCATCGCCACCGCATCTCCCCAATAGTCCAAGGTCAACCCACTCTCGGGAAGCATGCTCCTCATGCCCTCGAGTAGTGCGCGATTGACCCGCTCCGCAATGTTATTGTGTTGGGGTGTGTAGGGAATGGTGAGTTGGCGTCGGATCCCTTTTTCACGAAGGAAGGCATCGAATGCCTTGTTGACGAACTCTCCGCCGTTGTCGGTTCGAAGGACCTTGAGAAGCTTGCCACTTTGCCGCTCCGCTTCCGCTAGCCATTCCTTGAAGCACTCAAGGACTTGGGTCTTGTCCTTGATCTCCGAGACCCACGTGTTCCTCGTGCCTATGTCGGTGAAGGTTACGAAGTACTTGCTCCCGTGCCGAGATGGAACCTTCATGGGTCCACACACATCCGCCGCGACAATCTCCATCGCCTCATATGGCTCCAACTTAGCACCATGCATTGGGTAAGGGACCTTCTTGTTCTTCCCACACATGAAGTGCACGTCGTCACCTCCACGCCATTGCCTTCAACTAGCTCCACTCCCGTGACCATCTTCTTCTTGAAGAGTTCCTTGATCCGAGAAGAGCTTGCATGCGCCATCCTTCGATGCATGGTGTTGAGGTCGACCGACTTCGGTTTTGCCGCTACCATGAGTGTTTGTTGCTGCCACTCATGCCCATATGCTTCTTCCATCTTTGAAAGAAGCTCCTCCCTTGCTTTCTTCCCTTCCTCGGGTTCGTCAAGGTACGTAACCTTAGCTTCCGGTATTGGTTTTTCCATCACCCGCATCTCATACAAACCTTGCTTGCGTTCTCCCTCGGCAAGCACCTTCCACTTGGGTACAAACACCCAAAGCTTCCCATTGTTGCTGAAGGTCTTGCACCCACTCCCATCGAGTTGGGTTTGACTTATGAGGTTGAGGGAGAGCTTGTCGATGAAGAGTACGTTGTCCAATTTCAGCTCCCCAAACGGACTTTGTAGCACCATGTCGCCTTCCCCTTTCACATCGAGTTGGCCATCATCACCGAGAAGTACGTGAGGCACGGTAGACGTGCGGAAGTTTTGTAGCCACGTCGCCCGGTTGGTCATGTGTTGCGTGCATCCGCTATCCATGAACCACGCCTTGCTTTGAACACCCTTAGCAAGGAGACACGCCGATGAGGCGCGGGCCACATTCGCCTTGTGTGCTCTGCCCATGATAGCGTCGTCCTCCTTTGCTTTCTCAGCTTCCACGACGTTGGTCTTGGCAGGAGTTGTCGTCTTTTCTTGCGACCGTGCCCTATAGTTCTTGCCATTCGGGTTAGAATATCAATCCATCGCCTTGTGCCCGTACTTGTTGCAATGGTTGCAAGTGCCGGGGAAGGTTCCCCGTCCGCGTTGACCTTCTCCACTCGTTCCGCCGCCATGTTGCATACTCCTCCCCTTGAAGTTCGGACTCTTGGGGTTGGAGAAACACTTGGCCGCCTTATGCCCTTTCTTTCAGCAATGAAAGCACGCACCCACCGGTTTTCCGGCTCCAACAGCATTGACAAGCACCGGGTTTTCGCCAAAGAGCTCATCCAAGAGCTTCTTTCTGTTCATGGTGTTGGTGCGGATTAGCTCCAATGATTGAAGCGTTTCCGCCAACTCCGTCAATGTCTTCGGTCGGCTACACGAGACGTTGCCTTTGTGCACCTCCCACTCGTCATTTGCTTCTCGGTCTCGGGTACACCCATCGCCTTCAACTCGTCTTCGTAGCTCTTGGCACGATTCACGTACTCCGCGATTGTTTTGTTGGGCTTCAAATGGAGTAGGATGAGATTCTGACGGACGTTCGCCATGTTCGCCTCGGTCTTGCCCATGTAGAGCGAGTCCATGTGATCCCACCCGAGTTGTGCGGCGTTGACTTCATCGACGAAATTGTCCATCCCGATGATGATTCCATCCGCCACCGAGTTGCACAATTGGAAGAGAGCGTGCTCGCTCTTCTCCTTGTACGCCGCCTTCTCCTTCTCCGAAGCCGTGTCATCCGGTACTTCGGTAGCTTGGTCGTAGTACTTCCACAATCCAACCTCCTTAGCGCGCCGAATGAACTTAAGCCGCCACGTGCTATAGTTCACGCCAACAAATCGTTGCGCCTCGGGGAGATTGATGGTCGGCTTGGGCACCACTTGTGCCTTGGCCAAGGTTTCTTGGCTCTTGGCTAGGGCCTCGAGAAGACTTTTCAGCTCCGACTTTTCAATGCTCACGGTTGAGCTCGAACTTGCCTCATCCGTGCCGTTCCCCATGACTAAATGTTGGTACGCCTCCTCTACTCGACTTTCCTCTAGCCACGCCACATGTGACTACATCGACCGTGACAATAACGAGGCTCTGATACCAGATCTAGGAGACTATCGCCTCCTGCTCAGCGAAAAGTATTTAGAAATACTTGTGCAAATAGCCTCAAGGGCCTTGCATCATAATCTGATCTCAAAGTGGTTGCAAGTTGTCAATACACACAAGCATTCCACTAGTTCCAATGAGATACAAAGCACAAATGTTCAAACAGATTTATAGTGGAAGTACAAGCAATTTCGCGCTTCGTAACTGCTGTGTGCGCTGCGAGTAACTCGCGCACCTCGTGTCACGCCGAGTCGCACACGCAATCGCGACTTTCTTGCTGAACACGCCCCTGGTCCGAAGTCCGAATGCTTGTTGAACACGCCCCGTCCGAAACCCAACTTTTGCCCCACGTCAATCTGTTTCTCGCCACTTCCCTTCCTTTCTTCCACTCAACTCCTCCATCTTCTTTCTTTCCACCAATCTTCTCTCAACCTTCTCTCTTGCTTCTCCCCTTTCCGTACACCTCACGCTTACGCAATACCCGCTTCCTAGTTCCTTCTCGTCCCAAATCCGCATTTCTCTCCTCGTCACCCCAAGTCACGAGTAGTCCGTTGTGGGTGGCGAAACCACTCCAACACTACACGAGCGTGGCGACGCTGCTGCAGCTCGCGCAGGAGGAAGTACCGCAGCTGGATGTGCTTTGCTCTGCCCTCAAGTCGAGGCTCCAGGATCATGGCCATGTTGTCAGCGTACAGGACTGGTGCAAAGCTAGGCCGCTCACCGAAGTCAGTGAGCAAGAAGGTCAGCCAGCGGAGCTCCTGTGCCGCCATGGCACCAGCGTAGATCTCGGCCTCACAAGTGGAATGGGCAACAGACGACGAGCAAGTAGCTCTCCACGAGACAGCACCTGAACCAAGGCTGAAGCAGTAGCCCTGCGAGAACCTAAGGGTTTCAGCGTCGTCTGCCCAAGAAGCGTCTGTGTGCCAAGTAAGGACCACCGCCTTGCGTCTTCCCAGCACTAACCTATGCCTGATGTACTCGCGATATAACGCAAAACCCTCTTAGCTGCAGACCAGTGCTGAGGTCTGTGTCTGCCGGTGGCCACAAAGCGAGCCAGGATGCTGAGAGGGTATGCGAGATTTGGACGAGTGCAAGTCATAAGGTACATGAGGCAACCCACCAGCTCTGCGTAAGGACCACTGGACTCTAGTGACTCCTCAGGAACTGGAGAAGAGAGCCTGTGATCTACTGGAAGAGGTGTGGGCTGTGCGGAGGAGAACTGAAGACCGAACCTCTGAAGGACCTGGCGCACCAAGTGTGACTGGGTGAGAGTGATGGTGCACGCTGCTCTATCTCTAGAGATCTGCAGGCCCAGGTAATGGCGCAGTTCTCCTAGGTCAGTGCAGGTTTGTCTCCTCAGCAGCTCAGCCTTCAAAAAGGTCACCGCAGTGGTGTCTGCAGTGGCAAAGACCAGATCGTCTACTAAACAAGGATGTGGAACGGAGTCTGGCCAGAACGAACAAAGAGCGAGGGGTCTGCGGAAGACGGAAAGAACTGTAGGTCTGCAAGTGTAGCACGCAGCGTATATTGTGGCACTCGCGGGGAGCCTGACGCAAGCCGTAGACTGGGCGACACAGAAGCCACTGGGTCCCACGAGGGAAGGTACCAGTGAAACCCAGAGGGCGGCGCAGGTAGAAATGTTCGTGTAGACTGCCCTGAAGAAACGCAGTGAAGAAGTCGAGGGAGTGTAACTCGTAGTCACGCTGTGCTGCTACGTGTAGTAGCGCCCGAAGAGTAGTCATCTTCGGGGTCGGGGCGAAAGTCTAAAAGAAGTCCACCCCCTCACGCTGACTAAAGCCTCTAGCCACGTAGCGCGCCTTGAACACACGCGGCTCTCCAGGAGGGCGCTTCACCTTGAAGAGCCAACGACCATCGACTATGTTCACCCCAGGTGGAGGAATTGCGTCGACGTAGGTGCCGGTGGATCTCCAAGATGCCATCTCCTGCTCCATGGCAGCTATCAACTGAAAGGCCCAAGGTCCCGAGGTCGCCTCAGCGTAAGTGCGAGGGGTCGGGATGTCGAAAGCGTCTGGGTCACCCTCAGGGACACGTGGCATGGAACAGAGATGGGGAGCAGCCTCGGACAGGAAAGCAAGCTCGTACTGGCGGTCCTACAGGACGTCACTTTCGATGGCAGGAGCACCCCCGATGGACGGAGGACGGGCAGGGTCAGAGACCAGAGCGGTAGCGTAGTCAAGGCGGTGGTTAGAGGCGAACTCAGCGACCGCAGCGACAAGAGCGGCGAGACACGAGACCGGAACAGACGGGTCGGTAACGAGAGAGGCAAGGACCCGAGGAACAAGGGGACGAGCAGCGCGAAGGTAGTCAGACAGGGGGGGAGGCGCAACAACAAGAGAGGAAGGAGGCAGCAACGGTAGGAGTGGAGAACGAGACGCGTGAAAACGAAGCAACATAGGATGAGAGCGCGGGACAGGGGAGACGGGGCGAGCACGGGAGGGACGACGAGACTAGACGTGAGACGGAGGCGTCAAGTCAGGAGACAGAGGAGGGGACATAGGAGGGGAACGAGGAGGAAGACGAGCTAGAGATGAGTCCGGGGGAGGGAACACAGGGCCGTAGACAGGAAGGGGAGGAGACGGCAGGGGAGGCACAGACATGTGGTCAGGGGAGGGGAGGTCGAGCAGGCGAAGCGCTGACATCGGCGGTGACTGCTGCTGCGGCGGCACGACATCGACACCGGGATGGCAAGCTGCTCCATGGCTACCTCCGGAACACTCCACCCAAGCACCCCCAGAAGGAACACTCCCAGAGCCCGAAACCTCGCAAACACCGGAACCACCCCCAGGCCCACCGGGACAAGCCACGACAGGAACGCGAGGACTAGTACCCACCCCAACGCCAGCACCCCCAGAGTCAACGAACTGCTGCTGCGACGGCTGCTACCACTGACCCCTGCCGCTTCTGTGGCAACGCGATCTGCCCATGGTGCTCAAATGGAAGAGACTTGGTAAGAATATCAGCAGCCTGACGGTTGGTAGGGCACCACTGCAAAATCACCTCTCCCGCAGCCACCATCTCCCGAATAAAATGCCACCGGACCTGCATGTGTTTGGTGCGGCCATGCAAGCGTGCATTCTGTGCAAGGGCAATGGCAGACTGATTGTCCACAAACACAGGCACACCACCAGCATGATCATGGCCAAACTCCCCAAGCAAACGCCTCAGCCACACACCCACCTGAATGCACTGACACAGACTTATGTACTCACTCTCAGTGGTAGAGAGTGCCACCACGGGCTGCCTCTTGCTCTGCCAAGAGATAGCTGTCCCATTCAGATATAACACATACCCACTGTGGCTCTTGCGACTTGCGGAATCTCCAGCATAGTTGGCATCACTGAAGCCAACCAGCTGGACCTGAGATTGGGGCTGTGTTTGGAAGAAGATACCTGACTTGACACCACCTTTCCGGTACCTCAGCACTCTCTTAGCGGCCTGCAGGTGGAACATTTTAGGACAAGAGGCGACCTTAGATAGCTGTGATACTGCGAATGCAATCTGTGGCTGTGTGGTAGTACAAGCATACATGAGGGATCCCACAATGCTTTGGTAGAGCTTGACCAGCTCATCTCACAGCAAAGATTCATCCTCATAGGCATGCACATCAAAGCCTGTTGGGACAGGAGTACGCACGGGGTTGGCCTCTGAAAGACCAAAGGACTGAAGCATGTTAAGAATGTACCTCTCTTGATGAATCAAGATACCACTCTCATCACGCTCAATTTGCATTCCCAAGTAGTACTTCACCTCCCCCAAGTCCTTCATGCGAAAACGCGAGGACAAGAAGTCTTTCACTCGATCTAGCAAAGCCTTGCTAGAGCATAGGAGCAAAAGGTCATCCACATAGAGGAATAAGGAGATCCTCTCCTCATCTCTCACAAAGTGGTACAAGGCAGGGTCACACTCAGATCTCTCAAACCCAAAATCCATGATAGCCTCATCAAATTTCAGGTGCCACTGTCGTGGGGCTTGCTTTAGCCCATAAATGGAGTTTTTGAGGCGGCACACTCGGTTAGACCCATTATCAAAACCAGGGGGCTGCCGCATGTAAAGCTCTTCCTCCAAATCCCCATGGAGGAAGGCTGTCTTGACGTCCATATGATGGATATCAAGCCCCAAAGCAGCCGAAATTCCAAGCATACCTCTCAAGGTCGCATGCTTCCCAACTGGCGAGTACACTTCTTCATAGTGTACTCCCAATTTCTGCATGTTTCCCATCACCACCAATCTGGACTTAGGCCTCTCAACAGTACCATCAGGGTTATGCCTGTATTTCCAAACCCATTGACACCTGAGGACCTCCAAACCAGGTGGTACCACTTCTGGATCAACCAGCTCAAATGATCCATTTACCTTGTGAGACTCAAGCTCCTCATGCCTGGACTCCACCCATTCGGGACGGTTCAGTGCCTCATGGACTGACCTAGGCTCATGCACCTGACCCATTAGACACACATCAAGAGCATTCTCATGCCCATGCATGTCCACAAGCATGCAATCATCCAAATCAGACACAAGATGATCATGCATGCGTGCAATGTGCCCCAGTGAAAACCTTTCAGGTGGCTGGGAAATTCGAGCACTGCATCGCAGATGTGTTGCCTCTCCTTCTTCCAGCCTCCGCAGCTTCTCCTCCCAAGTCACCCTCTTCATTGGATTCCTTGTAGTCTTGGACAGCTGCTGATTCAATAACTGCTACCAACTGCTTCTCGATGGAGTTGAAGGCACATGCTGCTCCGGCTGATCATCACGCGCATCAGCCTGCGTGGCTGGCTGAGGGGTAGAATCTGTCTCTCAGGACTCCTCATGGTTAGAATCAGCTGGTTCTGGCTCCTCCTGCTGCTCCTCCCCTTCATCTCCAGGGTCCTCCCATGCCCCCTCAAAGATAGAGGCCGTACGAGGATCTTGAATGGAAATCCAACTTTGGCTTGTACCATGCTCCTTCCACCTTTTAATATTCAGCCCCTCATGGAAAATCACATCACGGCTCTCCAACACACGCTGGTCAGCTACACTCCATAGCACCCAAGCCTTGCTCCTCTTGTGCCTTAGGATCTAGCTTCCTCCTTTGCTGGTCAGGTACCTTATACTGTGCCATGCACCCCCACACTCGTGCCATGGAAAGATTCGGCACCTTCCCTGTCCATAAGGAGTATGGGTTCTTTCCTCCAAGCCCCTTGCTGCCCATCCTGTTCTTCACCCAGTTGGCGTACTGCACTGCTGCCCCCCACCAAGTGTTTTCAACCTCGGCATGGGCAAGGATGGCGCGAGCCAAATCAGTCAAGGTCCTGTTCAGCCGCTCCGCTGCCCCATTTTGCTGCAGCGTGTAACGTACAGAGAGCTGGTGGGTAATACCCTTTTCTTCCAAGAAGGTTTGAATTTCTTTCCCAAGGTACTCTCCACCCCGATCTGACCTTAGCACCTTCACCTTGGCCTCTAACTCCCTCTCTACATAGCGTATCCACCGCTTAAACACCTTTGCCATCTCATCCTTGGTCTTCACCAAGATGACCCAGCTAAGTCGACTGAAGTCATCAAGAAAGGTAACAAAGTATCTACTGCCCTGTTCGCGATCAGGAGTTTGCCTCGGTCCACACACATCCGTGTGCACGAGCTCAAGGGGAGTCGAGGCATGATCAGAGGAGATAGGGAATGAGGTTCTAGGCAGCTTTCCAGATGTGCAGTCAGGACATTTGCTCTGCTCCCCAGCTCCTTCCTTGACCTCCACCCCCTTCAGCTCCCCCTTCTTCACACATTCCAGCAGTTGCTGCTTCCCCGCGTGACCCATGCGAAGGTGTAGCAACTCAGGTGACACCGTTTCCACCTGCCTCCAACGAGTGCTACTAGCGGCTTCCCCAGAAAAAACCATATGTGCCTTGTAACAATTAGGCACACAAGCTGGAACAAGGTATAAACCCTTGTCCAGCTTTGCCTCCATCACCACAGTTTCACCCTTTCTAACAGTGCACCCTCCCTCAGTGAAAGTGCAGTTGTATCCCTGTTTAGCCAGCTGCGAGCATGAAAGGAGGTTTTCAGCCAAACCAGGGACGTGAAGGACCCCCTTCACACCCACTAGCTCCCCCTCCTTCCCCTTAATGGTGATCGTGCCGATGCCAATTGCCTGCAGCAAATCTCCGCTCCCAACAATCACTCTCCTAGAGTTTGGTGGGAGAGGATGGTAGGAGGTGAAAAGATCACGGCGAGGAAGCATCCCAGATGTTGCTCCAGAGTCTAGAACCAGGAAGTTGGGATCAGCCAATGCACGACCAGCGAGAGATGCATCCTGCCCTAGCATGAGAAACGAGAAACCATCATCGGAGGAGTCGTCTTGGCCCTTCCCCTTCTCATCCTTAGCAGCTACGGCCGTTGCTCCCTTGCTGCCCTTCTTATTCCAGAGCCCCTTCTTCATCCTTTTCTCCACCCAATCAGGTTTGGTCACTGGTGGGGTCTCTCCAGAGTAGCCGTGAGGCTTCCATCCCTCAGGCCTACTCCAGCAACTCTTCCAAGAGTGTTTTTTGTTGCATCCGGGCACAAGGCATTTGTCCAACTCTTTCTTCTTCCCCCCACCTCCTTGCTGTTGATAGCCTTTCCTGAAGGAAGCTTTATCTGCTGCACCCATGCCTCCTTCTAGGCCTCGTCCAGCATCAACCTTGCGAGCCTCATCAGAAATTACAACCTCCCAAATCCACACCTTGGTCCATTTCTGTTGCTCGAGGTGAAGGTACTGTAGTAATGCCTCATTAGCCGCTTGATCCAACCCTTGGAGCGCAATATAGATGATCTCCTTCTCATCTAACATGTAATCCAGCTCCTCCAAAGCCCTCACATTCTCATCCACCCTCTGGAGATACTGAACCATGGTCTCCCCCTCCCCATAGTTCCGCTCCATGGTGTAAAACCGCTTCCGCCAAGTAAGCACGCTTAGAAGCCCTTTCTGCAAGTGCCTATCTTGTACTCTTTTCCAAGCTGCAGCCGCTGCACCTTCCTTCCCCTTCAGGTCAGTAAGCATCTTAAGAAGCTCAAGTTGCCCCTCCAAAGCCCAACACAGGTACTGAAATGCCTGGCGATCCTTCCGATCCCATGCTTGTTGAGCTTTGAGCAACTCCTCGCTACTTGGTTGCGACCTTCCGGTTCGAGTTGCAGCAGTTCCTCCTTCATTCCCCCCACTCAACGACACTCCCCCAGCCCCGGATCCCACTTGGCTGGTTGCTCCAGTAGACGCCTCCCCAGAGTCAGCTCGTGGTCGCTTCTCCGATCCATCCAACACACTTTCTAGGTCCACTTTCTAGGTCCTTAATACCTAGCCATAGTGTGAACTGGAATCTCCAAAGCAAAAAGTCCGAGCCGGTAAACCTAGGAGGGCCATCCAACTTTTGGGCCATGTCAAACCCTAGATCTAGAGAACTTCAAGCCTCTCTAGATCTCTTCCAATGGAGGAAAGAACGTCGCCTAACCGTGGCTCTGATACCACTGATGAAAATCGTGTAAATCTGGAGAGAATTAATTAGAGATTAAGTCTGACGAACTCAACAGAACATTGCGTGCAGCTCAGGTAACTTCTAGTTATGAGCTTATACGCGTTGGAAAGTTCTTAATCTCTACTTTCCATAATGTTAAAGCACGTTTATAACCAAGATCTGAGCCACCGATTATGACGAAATCTGTGTGATGGGATCTACTGGTAATTTGGCTAGGCAGCCATGAATGACCTAGTCAAAACGAGAGGGCAGTAGTTAGATCTGGAAAGTCCGAGTATGTGATTGTCAAACACCACCAACCCTCGCCCTAGACCAAACCCCAACACTCAGAAGTGCCACAACTGCAACATCAAAGATATTGTAGTGGGTTTGAGGTTGTATGGGTTGGAAAGGTAACGAGATCAAACCGTGCCAACCGACCCAAGTTCTTTTGCCCAAATCCCAATAGCCCACAACCAGCTAGAGCAAACTGCACCATAGAACACTACACATTTATCACTGTGTACTAGAGTAGAGTCCATTATGGGAGCTATTGCTACAGGAAGCCCATGACTGTACAGTTTTTGGGCACTTCGGGGTGGAGAAAACACGACAACAGTTGACCATATATTATTTCCGGCCGGACATGCAAGGGGACGTGCAGCGGCACGTGGTTTCATGCAGGACCTGCCAAACCAGGAAGGCATCGAGCAGAAGTCGGCTGGACAATTGCGCCCGATTCCGCCACCTGAGCGTGTGTGGCAGCAGGTAACGATGGATTTTGTCATGGGACTGCCTGCCAAGAACGGTTGTAATGACGCGATATTTGTCCTCGTTGATAAGCTGACGAAGATGGCTCACTTTGCCGCCTGCAAGAAAAGCATCTTAGCCAAAGAAACAACCCGCCTTTTCATCTCAACCATCGTTCGCCTCCACGGAATTCAATGCGATATCATTTTCGACAGTGATACAAAATTCACCAGCTCGTGCAACCTTTGGGACCAGTTTGGCACGTGCCTATAGTTCTCCTCTGCCTATCATCCCGAAACTGACGGATATACCAAGCGAGCCTGTCAAACGATGAAACAGCTGATTTGCGCCATCTGCGATGACGTGGCCGACGGGGAGCAGCAATCGCCACTGATTGAGTTCGCGTATAACAACGCCCCCTCATCCACTACCCAACAGTCACTATTCTACCTGAATTACAGACAAAACCCTAGAGTACCCATCACGCCAAACGTCGACAATCTTGTACCCCGAGCCCAACAGTTCGCCGGATTTTTACAGAACGATCGGGAGCGAGCAGCTGTAGCCATTAAACACGCGAACGTTATTTCTAAACGTAATGCCAATCTACGCCGATGAGTAGTGACTTACCAGGTGGAAGACTTAGTACTGCTCGATAGACAGAACCTTCGACTGCCCATCGTCCCAAAACTTCGCCCTCGCTACTGTGGACCATTTACAATCAACAACATGATATCCTCCGTTATAGCCCTTCTACTGCTACCAGCCACCTGGAACGTCAGCCCATCATTTCACGTGCGGCTGTTATGACCATACATCGCCAGCATCTGTAAATTACGACGTCATCGAGCCAACACGAACATCCGACCACTCACCGAACCTACTATCGAACCTGCGAAGATTCTCAGCCACTGGAGCAAGGACCCTCGAGGGGCTCACCCGATCAGGTTTTCTGATATCCTGGAAGGACCGGACGCCCCTGGAAAATAATTGGGTGCCTCTGGCACAAATCGAGAATTACCCTGTGTTACGAGTCTAACTCTAGTGACGCAACATGCGTGACGTCGGCGGTCTCAGCTAAGACCATACAGTGACGGAAAGTACTGGCCGCATGTTTGTGCCTTCGACGAATTTTGGAATACTAAGGGGTCATGCATATTAAGCCTTAATCTTTTGGTGTGCCCACAGTATGTAGGTTGGGGTAAGGCTCTAGGCACATGCCATACATCTCACGAAGATACCGATGTTTACAACAAATAGCAGAAATGAACAATCATGGTACATCCGGACAATTAGTGCCAGGCGCAAGCAGCAAGTTTCAACAACCCCAAACTAGTACCTAGTCCACCACCCTTTCGCCTTAATCACCACCCTCACCCTCCTAGGCATGCTTTCCACCAAGGGGTGCACACATCCGTTGGGAACTTCTCCCATTCCTCCAGGACACGCTCCCAAAGGTCCAGCAAACCAGTGGGAGGCCTCTCATGCTTGCCGAGCTCCCTCTTGAGATGAGCCCATAGATGCTCTATTGGGTTGAGTTCGGGTGATGATGATGGCAAATCCTGCACGATACGCGACTTGTGCTTGGGGTCGTTGTCATGCTGGAAGATAACTTCCAAGGGTGAAAGCTGGTAAATGTCGATCGTAGTATTGAGCTCGTCCCGTTGTATACTCAGATAGAGCGGTCCGTCCATCTTACCATCTACTTTTCACATGAAACCCGCTCCCTCATACGACATGCGGCCCCAAATCATCAAGCAGCCGCCCCCGTGTTTGACGGTCTGTTTGATTTGGTGGCTTTAGAGGGTAGTACCTTCACGAACCCAGGCATATGAGCATCCGTTGGAAGCACAACGATTGATCTTGGTCTCATCTGACCAGATCACTCGCTTCCAGTCGTCAACCGTCCAGTCGGCGTGGGCACGGGACCATTCTAGCCCATCGCATACAATATCTCGTGGGTCATAGCTGCGCGAGTCCACCGCGGCCTCCCTGTGTTGCGCCTTCACTCCGACCGTGACGACAAGTTCACCTCTAGTCGGCTTGGCCAGTTTCGTCGTGCGGAGGGCATCACCCAGTGGTACACCCTGCCGGACTCCCCGCAGTTGAATGGGGCCACTGAGTGACGCATCAGTTTGGTCGTGGAGGTGACTCAAACCTCCATGATCCATGCCGGTGTACCCCATTTTCTGTGGCCGTTCGCTGTTCGCTTCACCCCTCATCAGCATAACTTGCGGCCACACTCCCAGCGGCCTTAAATTTTGCCGAATCTCCTCTGGACCGGGTCCCCTGGTGACGCGTCTGCGTTCCATGTCTGGTACTGCCTTGCTCACGTTCGTGACTCTAGCATGGACAAGCTCATTGCCCAGTGTCCCCTGTGTCCTCCTTGGCTTCCCCCTAGACGCGTCTTATTGGCACTTCTATCACCCGCCGTCTCACCGTTTCTTTCACTCTCGCGACATCACTTTTGACGAGTCCGTCTCTTTCTACACCCACTTTCCTCACTGAGGTCTCCTGGTTGCCTCGCCCCTGTTCCTTGTCCCCACTCCCCGGGTAGCCCTAGCTCCTCTCCCTCCCCATCCTACCCCGTCTAGTGTGTCTAACGTCACTCCCCTCCCATCAGTCGTCCCGGTGGAGGAGTCGGCTGGCTCTTGGGGCCTTGCGGCTCTGAGTTAGCTGCCTGTCTCCGCCCCGGTTGCTCCTCCTCCACCACCGCAGCCGCAGTCGCCATTGCCACCGCAGAAGCCGCTGCCATTGTCGCCGCTGCATCAGTAGCCGTCGCCACCGCAGGGGTTCGAGAGCTCTGGGGGTGCGGGCGTTGAGGAGGGTGGTGATTCTGGGAGTGCTGGTCCTGGGGGTTTTATCGTGGCTTGTCCCGGCGGTCCTGGGGTTAGCACGGGTGCTTGAGAGGTTTCTCGTTCTGGGGGTGTTGGCATGGAGCAGCAGCAGCAGCAGCAATCGTCGCCGATGTCCGCTCTTCGCCTCCTCGGTCTTCCTTCCCCCAACCGCCTCCCCTGCTGCCGCCTCCCCCGCCTGTCTACGGCCCTGTGTTTCCTCCTCCAGACTCGTCCCTGGCTCATTTCCCCCCTCGTTTTCCTACCGTGTCTCCTCCCTTGTCCCCTGACCTGAGGCCTCCCTCCCCCCAGGTGGTCTCACCGTGCCTCTCGTGCTCGGCATGTCTCTACTGTTCAGCGCTCTCACCATATGTTGCTCCGTTCTCACGCGTCTCATGCTCCCCTTCTACCGTCGCCTCCTCAGTCGTCGCTTGTTGTCTCCCCTCCTCCTCTCTCCAGCTTCCTTCATGCCGCTAGTCCGCTTGTCCCTCGCGTTCTCGCTTCTCTTGTTACCGACCCGTCCGTTCCTGTCTCCAGTCTT